ATAAAAAAAGTACAGGATATAAAAAACTTTCCTTTTCGACAAAAAGAGGTAGAAGAAATCCTTTTTCTATAAAGAAAAGAAGATCACTACAAATGAAAAAAAGATCTGGTAATAGGTCTTAAAAAAAAAGAAATAATAGAAAGACTGCAAATATTAATAATAAAGAAAGAAGAAATAAAAGAATGAATAGACATTACTCACTTTATTATACAAAAGAGCTTTATTAAGATTATATAGAGTTATCGATATGAAAAAGTAAACAAATAGAAAAAAAGAAGAGAAATTATAACTAAAGAAAAAAGAAGTAATTTAACAAGGAAAAAACAGATAGTAAAGACCTAATTAGATGAGGAAAGGAAAAAACTTTTATTAGAAAGGAAAAAAGAAAGAGAAAAAAAAAAAGTTTAGATAAATGAAGTAGTAAATAAAGTAATATCAGAAGTGATTAAAAAAGAGAAAAGGAAGTGATAGAGTTTTCTTTGAATTAGTTAGACAATTTGTTCTAACCTTAAGGTTAATATAACAGATCATATCTAAGCACTCTAGTAGTAGCTATATGATGTCAGACTTAGAAAATTAGGTAAATTAATAATTATATGTAACTTGGCTATAGCTATGATTAACAACTTAATAAAGTTTATAACATAACTGATAAAGAAAAAAAAATAGTAAAGATTATCAATATATAATCCTATATGCAAAACTAATAAAATCCTGTTAGCAATATAAACTATTTTGACAACAAAAAAAATAAAAATAAAAGATTATATATTTTATTTGATAAATTTTATCTGAAATATATTAACTATAATCTAATACAAATATTGATCTAAAGCATAATATATATATATTAAAATTAATAATGTTTTTAAAAGATTATATCTTGACCTAGATCACTTAATACGTTGCTCTGCCTTGCAAGAGTTCTGAAAAGAAATTGAAGAAGCTGTTCTAGTAGGTATCAGCAAGGTTTAAGTAGAAGATTACTTCTTCTACTAGAAATTAAATAGATTATCTTCCCAAAAGATAAAGAGAGCGGATACTAAAGAAGAATGCAGCTACTAATCAGACTTGAGAAATACAAGATGACAGAAGACCTTTAGGTTCTAGCTTAGAAGAAGGATACATTAAAAGTTTGGTTAGATAGCATCCTTTTTATCATGCAAAGAAGCTTTACAGAAATAATATAGAACTAATGATGTAAAAAAGTGATTGAATAGGAAAAGCAAGAAGGAATTACAACAAAGTATAAAAGAAGTATAACCAAAAGAAAAGAAACTAAAATGAGAATTCGAACAGATGAAGAAAGGAAAGTATTACTTGTGAGGAAAAAAAAGAAGAGAGAAGAGAAAAAGAAATGGGTAGAATTAGTAGTAAAAAAAGGAGTTAAGAAAGAAATAAGAGAAAGAGAAGGAAGTTGGTAAAGTTTTTTTTGATTTGGTTAGACAAAATTGTTCTAGCTATAAAGCTAGTACGACAGATTGCACCTGAGTACTCTAGTAGCAGCTAGATGATGTCAAGCTTAGGAAATTAAGTAGATTAGATAATTATATGTAACTTGGCTACGGCTATGGTTAACAACTTAATAAAATTTTATGACATGACTGTCAAAGGAAAAAAAAAAAAAAAAAAAAAAAAAATTATATCTTGAAAATCACAAAACTCTTTCTGATGATTACTAGAACTGAAATAGAGTAAATAGAAAAAGACTACAAGAAACAACTCCAACTACTCAGCAAAGAAAAAATATTAAACAGTATAAAGGATAATATCTTGAACTAGGCAGAGTATATTCTTTAAACTATTATTGCTAGTTTTGTAAGAAGCCTACTAAAGCTTTGCTACTGACCTTAATAGGTCTTAGTTTTTTCTTGGCCTAATAGATAACTTGTAAAGATATTGTGAATAAACTCACTAAACTACTTGAACTAGATTAAGTAGCAATACACTCTCTCTTCTGACTTATGATTTTTAGTTCTACTTAAATAAACTTCCTATATCAAAGTTCTGCAGTTTTTTTCTTTTTTTCTTTTTTCTATTTTTTTTTTTTGAAAAATAAGGAATTGGGGTTTTTCTTGTAAATGATGATCTTTGTTTATCTTTACCATTTTTAAATTATTATAGAGAAAACAACTATGTGACAAATTAGTCTGTTTGGATCTTTGTTATACTACATATAAGTAACTATATATGTCCAGTTTCTGAAAAATACAGCTAAAGTATAGAACAGATTAATCAAAAGATAGAGTTTAGTTAGAAATTATATGAGATATGCTTATATTGCTATAATATAATATTTTTGTTCCTAGTTCAGACTAAAAGACAACTATTTTCTTTTTATTTTTGTTTATCTCTTTTTATTTTTTCTTTTATTACTTCTATGTTAGTATTTTTTTCTGTAGCAGGTTTTTACTTATGTAGATAATAGTCATAGATTGTAGCCACTTAAATCTGTATAATTTTTATTTTTAGTTCTTATTGTTATAGTTAGGTTTCTCTTTATTTTTTCTTCAAGATAAATTTTTAGGATAGATAATTAGGAACTTGCTATTGCAGTCAGAACAGACTATGAGTTCTGCACTATTAATCTTTACTATCAAAGTATTAGAATATATAAGAGAATAAAGGAAGGAGAATACTAATTATAGCAGATCATTCACAGGTTCGTATAGAAACCAGAGAAGCTATACTTTAGAAAACAGAAAATACTACTATGTATAGAGCTTTTGATTAGTTCTTCATTAGTTTTTATATTATAAAAATTTCAAATAAAGTTGTAGTCTGACTGCTGAATTCAAAAAAAAAGATTATATCTAAAAGAACTCTTTCTACTGATTACTAAAACCTAATATGAAGCAACAAAAAAAATTTAAAAACAATACCTAGTAAGAAATACTATTGTATAGCATAAAGGATAAAGCTTATAACTAGGTTGAGTATATTAGTACTATACTAATATCTCTAGTTTGTAAGTAGTCTACTAGAGTAAAGTTACTAACTTTAGCAGGTCTTAGTATTTTTTTGTTTACTTATAGCTGAAATAAAAACCAAATATAAGCTTTACCAAAACTGCTTAGACTAAGTTAAGCAATAATACTATCCTTCTATTCTAGTTAGAGTTTTCATATCTATTAACCTTTGATTCTTTCTATAATCTAAAAACTTTAAACAACTCTCTACATTTACATTATAATCTTTTTGCAAAATTTATTTTGTAAAAAGTAAAGATTTGACTACTTTCTGTAAAAAGATTAATATTCGTACAATCTGTCTATTTTGAAAAAAGATTATATAAACAAAACAGGTGATCTGTTTTGTTTACTAAAGAGCTAGCATATATGACAAAACTAATTACTAATTATAACTAATTTAGATTAATAGTATTAAGAGCAAATTAATTAAAGATATAGAATATAGTGTTAGTATTTTATATAATTTTTATGAGTAAAATAGTATTTAGAAGAAATCTATTTAGCTTTGCTAATAGGTTTTTTTTATTTAAGCCTCTCTCTTTTCTATTTTCTTTCTATTTATTTTTGTTTTTTCCTTCTTTTCTTGTTTTTGAGTCTTTCTTAAGCAAGATTAGTTATGACAATAGTCATGATGCACTCCTAACATGCTTTGTTGAAGTAATTAAGAATTAAGTCTAGAACTTATACTCTTTTATAGAGAGAATAGTTAGGTATAGCAAATCACAAATAGATGCTACTTGGTAACTGAATGAGTCACAAACTTGTAAAGTAATAGTTTAAGCTAATGATAAGGATCGTATATGTAGAGACTTCCTTATTTTTTACAATAAAGTTGTGGCATGATTGCTAAATGATAAAAATAAAAAAAAAGATTATATCTAAAACCAAAAAAAATTTTAAAACAAATAAAAATAAAAATATCTGTTTGTCTAAAATATTTATTTGATAACCTTGTTTTTAAGTAAATACTCTTGGAATTAGCTATAATCATATACTTTAATTAATTAAATTTTATAAACATAACTAGCTAAAATTTAGTAAAATAAAAAATTTATTAAATAATAATTATTATTAAAGTCAAAATCTTACTAAATTAATCGATATTGGTGCTCTAAATAAATTGTTTGCAAGAATATTTTATACCTATTCTGGAATTTATATATAAAAAAGTTTGTAAAAAGACATGAATATTTCTGAATAGATAAAAAATATTCTTGCGAACAACTTTACTTAAAGCACTAACATCGATTAACTTAGTTAGATTTGACTTTAATATGTAGCAACGATTATCGATTTTAATATAATGTGCATTTAGAGAAATTATTTATATATCTGAGACCAGAAAATCTTATACATATGTAAATATAGTGAGTGAATACCATTAAGTCTAAGCTTTGGATCAGGCTATAGTGAGCATGAAGAGGGGTGTACACTTAGTGAGATGCGACTATATCACGCAAGTGGGTAGGTGTTATTCCGTGGCAATATGGTGCTGTACTATTATATAATCCTTATTTCAAATAATTATTGAGAAAATAATATATAACTACAGAACTAATACTATACATTAGTATAATTTAAGATACTAATATCCGAATTGCAATCCCCCATAGCAAAAGGGGGGATGGGACAAAAATTTTTTTCGTAAAAATTTATTTAAGAATTAGAATAATTAGAATATAATTAGCATATAAAAAAAAAAATCTAATTTTTTGTCTCATCCCATTTCAAAATTTATCAGTTATAATAACCAAAATTTGTTATCTATTATTAATCAAAAATAATCGGCATACTAAATTTAATTATGAAATTTTTTTTTTTTGATTTTCTTGACTTCTATTGACCCAATCCCATATAAATTTTTATTCTTAAGATTTTTTTTTTTAAAATTAAATATTTAAGATATGAGATAGTGAATTAGGTAAAGTATTGGATAAGTACAGTATTAAGTATATTACAGATGACAACCAAAACAAAAAAAAATAATGCTGCAATAGATTATTTTCCAAATAATAATGTTTTAATTTACTAATACCATCCCCACAGTTTTTTAAAAAAAATAGACATTTCTGAGAAAACCCCTCCACCATTAATTTTCAGATTCGGCGTTACGGGATTAGGCCGTGGCTTATTACCAGTGTCAGGTTTTTTGGGTAAAGCATATTTAATAGTAGCTTTTTTAAAACCCAATGAGGGATCAATACGCGTGAAATGTGCTCCAGAGGTAGTCGATTGCGTTGTAGCAGATGTCTGAGAACCAGCAGTTAGTTCTTGAGCGGTGGATTGTTGAGCTGACGAGGAAGTCGTCGCTACCTCACTAGAAAAAATGAAGCAACTTAGTCTAATAATAAACATATCGCTAGTTAAAATTTATAAAACAGTTACCTTGTCTGATTAACAAATAAATTTTGTGATGGTTGCGCAGCAATTTCATTAAGAGCCGACGGCAAAATATTGTTATTTCCTTGTTGTGCTAAAATACTTGGCCCTTCATCATAAATATTTGCACCATCTTGATATTTATTTTTTCGCATGCTATGGTACATGGAATCTCCTGCTAGTAAGGCCCTCTCACGAGCTTCATCATTTTCAACAGCGATCTGATTTACAATATCTATAATGCTGAGACTTGGGTTAGCAAGAGTACGTTCAAGAATTTCATCTTGTGAAATTCCCACATTCTTGGGTACGTTTCTATTAAAAGTTTTCGTAGGTGAGAACAAGATTTATATTAGCTTTTATTAAAATAATTTATTAAATACCTGCGAAAGTAAGGTTCTATTTCCATCCTGCGATATTTTCTAGCAACTGACTATATATTTTAATTGGAAGGTCGACTTATAAGCGGATTATTTTGAAAAGTTAACACAAATAGGTTTAATTTTCTGACCTTGGAATTGCTTAAGATCACTGGTTCAAAGTATTTCGTTTCCTGTGGCCCTAAGGCTTGGCGAAAAAGTAATACGCGATTACAATCTTGGCAAGAATGGACGTGTCCGCAGGGATAGCATTTGTGCACTGGTTCATAAGCTTGCTGCCCGTAAGCACGTCCGGCAGGGACGAGCTGTAACTGTGCAGCTGAACCAAAACCATTTGTCTGATTTAAATTCATAGTTTGCTGTGGTAAAAAACTTGAATTCGCCAGAGTTCTATTTGGATTTGTTAACTGATTTGATACTTGTGATGTTATTCCAGGACCTGGCTGCGTTGAATTAATATTTTGACTTGAGCTTTGTACCTGAGACGTAGCAAGTGGACCATTGTTTGTTTGATTCGTTTGAATCGTTTGATTCATATCGGAATTTTTTGATTTAGACCAGACAAACAGGAATTTTAATAATTTACGTGTCACGTGATCAGTGTTTAAAATCGAATTTATGCTTGTGCTACGTATCAGCCAGTGTTGTCAATTTGTTAAGATTGCAGAATAAAAATATGTCATTTTTGTCATAAAAAATATTATTTTGTTATTTTTTTATAATATTTTATAAATAAAAAAGTCATATTTGTCATTGCTTTCAGTTATTGCTATCGCTATATGTGTCGATCATTTTCAGCCTCGTTAATATCAACCTAAGCCACAAACCAAATTTTTATATATCGAAATTATACTTGAGCAGTGTGGCTTCGTGTTACCTTAGGATGGCTTAAACCCAAGCGAAGCAACTGCTCACGAAGGAATAAACAACTGCTCATAAAAATATGAGCGACTTAATCATATATAGAATTTACTTAGTATAGCCTTCGCGAACCAAATTGTATAAATATAGGTCCTTTTCGCCTTTCCAAAAGGACCAGTTACGAAATAAAGTTATCAATTAAATAAATCACTATTACCTTAAAATTCCGAATCCTTATGTTACCAAAATATAAAAACTTCGCTAATTAAATCGATTCCTCACTACGTTTGTTGATTAAAGTATATGCTGTCTCTTGATTAGCATAAAGGAAGTAAGCATTGAGGCTGAACAGAATAATTAAAAGCCGTATCTTTGACGATAAACATATTGAAGACATTATAATTTAAGACAACTCGAAATTCGTTTTGTGTTAATAGATTAACACCTGATTTATTAGTACGTATAGTGATCAGACGTTTAGATCACTTTTTAAGTTATTAATTAGTTAATGATTAACTCTGCTATCGCTTAAATTAGTTATATATAGAAATTAATAAAATTGATAAACACGTCCTTATATAAGATTCCTATAAGGACGTGAATAATAA